AATCGGCCTCTGTCACGGAGAAAGACCGGTCAGCTGACAGCACCCTGGAACAGATGGCTGACAGCGTTATCACCGCTGTAGTTACAGCTGCAATTCAGGAGAGAATAGAAGCAGCGGTCGGCCTGGTGGCTCTGAATGAAGACCCAGAGCGGTCGAGGCCTCCAGATTCCACCCAGCTGCTGGAGCTAGCCGAGGAGTCGGACAGCGATGTGGAGGACTTTGAGCTGTTAGACCAATCTGAGCTGGAGCAACTGGAAGGGGAGTTGGGGCCTGTAGAGGAGAAGGCAAAGCCCAAAGTGGAGGAACCGGCTGCGACCGACAAACCAGCCTCTTCTGGATTCCTCTCTAAACTCCTCAGGCGTCAGTAATCGGCTAAACGTTTGCGAGGGACGATTAAACAGTCACAGAGGACATTCGGAGATGAGATGGGAAATTTCTGTCACTTTTGCCTTCGGTTTGAGGATAAAAAATTACCATTTTCATCTTTTAGAGCTAAAATATACATTTAAAACAAATCTGTTTCTAGAAGAATTTTAGTCAGGATACTTTTATCTGCACGCAATCTTTACCCACAATTCAGTTTCTATTAAGATATCAACACATTTAAAAACAAAACTTGGCCCTTAAAACTATGGACTTTTATGTAAATAACTGGATATTGTGTTTGTGGGAATAAAAATGGCAGATATGCACTTTTGTTCAAACCCGTCACCCGTGCCATATTTAAACCATCTGTATTTGGACTTTTTAATCATTTCCCGTGAGCAATCAATGCGGAAAACATTTCCTTCAATGTTTTTAGAGGTTTATCAACTGCATATATTAAAGGTGGTTTAGCAAGTTTTCTGTCGTGGTTAACATTTTGCTGAATAATTTTTAGTAAGGATGCACAATATTGGAATTTTGGTTAACATATTTAAAGTCTCCTTAGGCCAACTGAGACAGATTTTTTTCCCCCCATAGACTTGCTTACAGACATTATGTACGGTAGTTTACTTCCTCCTGTCTTGCGAAGTCATTGCATGCAAGTGGTAATTCAAGTATCTTCTTCCAAACTTTAGAAAGCATCCACACCAACAACATTTTTACTTCAGCCTCAGTCCTGTGGAGGACTCATGCATCTGTTGGGTGCACTGGAACTGCTGATACTGCAGGAATGATACTCACTTATTTGTTACAAAAACAGTGCCTTTTATATAGGTGCGTATATTGGTGGAATGGCGGATGCCCGTATCTGATTTTAAAGCTAACTTTGGCTGACACTGATGGCTTGTGCTTTTATAGAGCTTTATGAAGTCTAAGGACCCCAAAGCCTTTTACACTACAGTTAGTCATTCATCTAATTATGCACACACATTGTGGCAACAGTTGCCCTGTGGCTCACTGATGAGTAAAGCTGCTGTACACAGGCCCCTACAGGCCCTCTGACCACCATCAGTAACAGAACATCCTAGTTTTAACCCTTTGAAACTTGTTGAAGGTGCTTAAATCAGTCAGAAGTCATGCATTGAATAACAGTATAAGTTTTTATCAATTATCCTGAGGCTTCACAGCCTCAGTATGAGGTTTGGCTTTCTGGAGTGGGGTCAAAGTACATCTTAGACGTGCTGAAAATTTGAATTTGAAGCTGGGACCTCAGTGTGTCTCCCAGTCCTTGGTGCAATTTGGAGGTGTTGGCACTGTTTCTATGCTCTGAACTCAACACACACCAAAATCCATGCCCTGAGTTTGCTGAGGTATTTCTTTGTCATGGAGGGTGTGAATTGTTTAATACCTAGAGGGATATGGTAATTAAACTGGAGCTATAACGTGCAGCATTGTGGGTTTGATTGTGTTTGAAGCCACTTGGTTCAGTTTTGATTCAGTTGCATTGAAATCTAAGCCATGCAGATGTGGACTAACCCCACACCATGGATAACCTTCAGCCATGTTTCATCCTTGATCTTGTTAAACTACTCAGTGGTATTGAACATCAGCAAACTCTGTAGAAAGGTTTTGGGTAACTTAAGGCAAATTAATGAGGTCCTTCTCTGTATCATAATAGACAGTATGTTGCTCTTCTATTATACTCCGAACGATATAAACTATTCCCTTTTAACACCATCCAGTTTTTCAGCTAACTTTAACTTTCATAATGTGGTATTAATCTGGCATGAAGGAGGCCTATTTGGCTGTATTCTTACTTGCACCACCCAAAGCTGTTTTTTATTGTTAAAGGGAAGTAGGACGCTCAATACTTATCTTCTCAGAAGCAATTCAAACTAAACATTCAAAGATCACATGACATTTTGAGCAGTTCTTTCAGCTGAATTTCCCAGAATTCCAAAGATGCAAATTAGTTTTTGACAATCACTGCATAGTTGTTGTTTTAAGGCTGACATGATAACATTGTTCATGACTGTGTCATTGATTGGAAAAGTTAAGAGAAACTAATGCTGTTCATTTTGTTTCCTGTTTTAGAGTTTATTGTGTACCTTACTTTAATTATCAAACATTTCTGTAGCTTGGTTGACTTTTACTTTAACATGCAGCTGGTCTCATAATTATGTGCATGGATATCTGAATACTTAAACATCCAACTAAAGTATTTTAGTGTCACTTGTGTGTTGGTTTCTTGTGGCTTGTTGTTTGCTGAGGGAATGATAAGATCTGTCTGAATCACTTTGGTAATTCTGAATTTGGCAGATCTTTTAGGATGGGAATGAGCAGAATGACCATATTGAGAGAAGTTCATGTATAATAAAAGAGATCCAGTTTGATCAAAAAATGATTGACTTAAATTCTTTCATCTCTCTTGTCTTGGATAAGGTTTATTCACCTTAGATGTTTGAGCAAGAAAACAAACATATTTTAACTTTGGTTCTGGATATGATGCCTCACAAAATTGTATTAATGCAAAGCCATTACAACAAAATAAATACATATTGTATTCGCTTTTCATTGTGTAAATTAATGCAGCATTTATTTTTCAACCACCTCCTACTGAAGTGATTTACAGTTTACCTTCACCATAGAGAGCGTTCTGACCAGCTTTCTCACTGTGTGGTGTGGAGACTGCAGCGCCCCAGACTGGAAGAATGTGAGAAGAGTGGTGAGAACAGCAGAGAGGATAATCGGGGCTCCTCTTCCCTCCATTAAAGACCATTAAAGACATTTTATCCCAGTTCTGTGTGTCCTGAGCCCGTAGAGCCCCCTTACACCCCCACCATCGACTGTTCTCCCTGCTGCCCTCAGGGAAGAGGCTTTGCAGCATTAAATGCAGGTCCAGTAGATTCTGCAACAGCTTCTTCCCCACTGCCATCAGACTGCTGTACTGTTGGAAAAAAATTTTAATTCTTTTGTAAATCCTGCATCACACTGATAACACCAAACCAAAAATACTGCATGTTTGCACCATATATATTTAATGCTCTGAACTTCCTTTTCAATCTTTTTTTTGCACCGTGTTTTTTCTCCCACACTGTTTACATTTGATAACTGCTGCCCTTTAAGAAATGGAAATATCATGAAAGCTGTACAAAACTAAATTTCATTTTGTATGCACTCTGTGCATACAAAATTACAATATGTGACAACAGGAAATGTGTTGGGAACATTTCTGTTTGCATTCTAAGTTATGGTGGATAGCAGGTAAATATATCTCATACTTCTTTTCTATTAAGGTCATGGCCAGCTAGTGCTTATATCCAGCAGTCTATGGGTGAAAGGCAAATGGACAGATTGACAGTCCATCGCAGGACAGCACACCATGCACACATACAGTCACACGGAACATCAGTTTAGAGTCACTACACTGTAAACCCGAATGCTCAAAATAATTAATTAGAATAAGTAGAGTGAAATATGCTGGTGAAGATGCTCAGTCATCCAGGTCTTAGTCATTCGATCAAAAGTTTAAAAAAAAATCCACTGGACTTTGTTTCCAAGTTTGAAGACGTTTCGCTTCCCATCCAGGAAGCTTTTTCAATTCAAAATGTCAGAAACAGCATTGAGTTCAAGGCTTTACAGAATAGATTATAAAACAAAGCCTTGTTTTGGCTTAGAAAACATGCAAATGGAACCAGACGAACGGGTCGGCCCTGTAGAGATGGGGGTTCTTTGTTAGCCTGCAATACCTCATACCTGTCTATGTCTCTGAAAGGGGGTCATTAGAGGGATTTTTTGGCCTGGCTGAACAGGCGAGGTGTTCCTGTCTCCTGTAAAGGGATGGGGGTTGCGATGATAGCGGGAAGGAATCAACTCTATCGCTGAATTGGAGGAATTGTAAGCTGTAATCTGAGGTCACCCCCTCTGAGGCCAACCAACCTTAAACAGAGGGGGTAGCCTCAGATTTTAGCTTTCAAAAACCTACAATTTAGCGATCTCTTCCAACTATCACACTTCTCAGCCTCCCCAGGAAGGCCTATGCCAGGGTGCTGGAAGGAAGTCCAGCTACTTTTCCAAACTCTAGGGGTAGTAAGTTTTCGTCCCAGCAGTGAAACAGTGGACCAACTCTACACCTTCTGCAGGGTACTAGACGGTACATAAGTACCTTTACTAGGGGCCATCCAACAGCTGTACAAGTGCGGTAGGAGTTTGTTGGCATTTGGTTTGACCCATTTCTGGTTTACATGACTTTTATGCAAATGTCTAGATGGATTCAAGAACTAAAGGATGTCTGAATTGGGGATGAGCAAATTTCTGTTTTTTAGATGATGTGGTTCTGCTGGCTTCCTCTGCCATGTCTCAGGAAACCTTTTTTTAATCTATTTACATTTTTTTTATATAGCTAATTATCTTATTCTAATGATTGCAGGCTTTGAAATAAGGTCATAAGCAATTATTATATAAGCAAAGATCCATTATTGAAACATTCAGGCTGAGTCATAAACAGGTCATGTTTTCTGTAAATTGTTCAACAATGTTAAAAAACCGGCCAAACCTCTTCTTACTGTTCCTCTCATCTCCAGTCAGCCCACATATTTTTATTTGTTTCCTGCAGAAGGTTAAGTATAGAACTACTTACGGTTCCAACAGTCACAGTGACAGAGAACTAAAATGGAGCAGCACGGATTACAACTGGACCTTAAAATGTTTTCCTGTTCGATCTGCCTGGATCTACTAAAGGATCCAGTGACGATTCCCTGTGGACACAACTACTGTATGAACTGTATTAAAACGCACTGGAACAAAGAGGATCTAAAACAAACCTACAGCTGCCCTCAGTGCAGGAAAACTTTTGCTTCAAAGCCTGATCTGGAGAAGAACACCATGTTAGCAGCTGTGGTGGAGCAACTGAAGAAGACTGGAGTGTACGCTGCTCCTGAAGCTGGACCTGAAGATGTGGCCTGTGATTTCTGTACTGGAAGGAAGCTGAAAGCCATCAAGTCCTGTTTGTTCTGTCTGGCCTCTTATTGTGAGAAACACCTTCAGCCTCATTATGATGTGGCTCCACTAAAGAAACACAAGCTGGTGGAGGCCATGAACCTCCAGGAGAACATCTGCTGTAGTCACAATCAGGTAATAAACATGTTCTGTCGTACTGATCAGAAGTGTATCTGTAGTCTCTGTTTAATGGATGAACATCAAGACCATGACACAGTGTCAGCTGCAGCAGAAAGGACTTTGAGGCAGAAAGAGCTGGAGGAGAAACAAGGAAATATCCAGCAGAGAATCCAGGACAGAGAGAAAGATGTGAAGCTGCTTCAACAGGAGGTGGAGGCCATCAATCACTCTGCTGATAAAACAGTGGAGGACAGTGAGAAGATCTTCACTGAGCTGATCCGTCTCATCCAAAAAAGAAGCTCTGATGTGAAGCAGCAGATCAGATCCCAGCAGAAAACTGAAGTGAGTCGAGTCAAAGAGCTTCAGGAGAAGCTGGAGCAGGAGATCACTGAGCTGAAGAAGAAAGAAGCTGAGCTGAAGCAGCTCTTAAACACAGAGGATCACAACCAGTTTCTCCACAGCTACCCCTCACTGTCAGCACTCAGTGAGTCTACACACTCATCCCTCATCAATATCCGTCCTCTGAGACACTTTGAGGATGTGACAGCAGCTGTGTCAGAGCTCAGAGATAAACTACAGGACATTCTGGGAGAGAAAAGGACAAACATCTCATCACCAGCGATTGATAGTGACCAGAAAATAAAAGACCCAAAGAGCAGAGCCGACTTTCTAAGATATTCATGTACCATCACTCTAGATCCAAACACAACACACACACAGCTTGTGTTGACAGAGGGGAACAGGAAGGTCACACTTATCAGTCAACATCAGCCTTATTCTATTCACCCAGATAGATTCACTGGTTGTTGCCAGGTTCTGAGCAGAGAGAGTCTGTCTGGACGTTGTTACTGGGAAGTGGAGTGGAAAGGGAGAGGAGGGTTTGTTGCTGTTTCGTACAAGAGTATCAGTAGAGCAGGGGGGGAATGTGCATTTGGGCGTAATAGCAAATCTTGGGCTTTGGATTGTTATCAAAAAACATACACATTTTATCACAAGAAAAATAAAACCCCAATCTCAGGTCCTGTTTCCTCCAGAATAGGAGTGTACCTGGATCACTCAGCAGGTATTCTGTCCTTCTACAGCGTCTCTGAAACCATGAATCTCCTCCACAGAGTCCAGACCACGTTCACTCAGCCGCTACATGCTGGAGTTTGGATTTACTACACCAACGTTACAGCAGAGTTCTGTAAACTCGGGTGGACTTGACTTTAGTGGCTGTGAGTTCAAGTGAATCGAAACAGTCTTTTACTAGCTGCTTTTATTTCTATTTGGCAGTTTAAATAAAAAATGAAGAAAATATTGAAGTTTTGTCTATATGTCTTTCTCGTTGAATTTTTCATTTTATAAAATGTTAAGCATTTTTTTAACCAACTTTAGCATGTCAGTTAAATCATTAAAGTGCTAATTAGGTATTCTTTCCATTCTAAAAGACTGATTAGAAAAGAAATATATTTGTGTGGGGTTAAAAACTTTTTTATCACTGCTTCTGTCTGCTTGAACCCCAGTCGGTTTCAGCAGATGGCCGCTCACACTAAGGATCTGCTGGAGGTTTCTTTCTGTTAAAAGGGCTGTTTTCCTCTCCACTGTTGCCACAAGCATTCTTAGTGTGAGGGATTGTCTTGGAGTCAAATAGTCCATGAAATCAACTGGTTTTCCTTAGATAGAAAAGTTTTAATCAATTTGATTGTATGATCTGATGAACTGTGCCTTGAGATGACATGTGTTGTGAATTGGCGCTATATAAATAAACTTAATTGAATTGAAATATCTTAAAATTTATTTCACAAAATAACCTAAAAAGTAAGTGCAATTATTTTTTTGCCACTTTATGTTTCCTTACTTCTTATTTTGTTTTGCACATTGTTCAGTATTTTGTTTTTGATTGTGATTCTTGGCTCTGAAATAAAGATGTTTTTTGTAAATAAAATAAAAAATTAATAATCTATGAGTCCAGTCGATTGTTTCCTTGTCTTTCTTTTTTTTTTCTCATGAAATAGGTTTTATGCCACTCACAATATGGTGGACGCGCTGACGCGCATTACTGCAATGCAGCGCCTTCCTCCTTTATGTTGTAGAGCATAGCTTTCTCCAGAGGGAGGCAATAGAGAACCGCTTGGGTTTCAAATAGACACTCAGTTCAAATCAGAAGAAGTTAACCTCCCAGTTTTAGGTTGTCCTCGTGTTTGCATGTCGGGAAAATATCATCACTAAAATCTGTTCTGATTCTGTGATTTTTGCAGCGACTACATTAAATACGTAAGTAATTAGTGGCGTTCAACAATGCTTTTTTAGAAACTGACGTTAGATAGAAAAGGTCCAAACTGTTGGTCTCTAACGTCTGTGTTTAGCCGGAGCTGTAAAGTTGGGTTAGCTTGTTGCTAACAGATATCACGGCAGGTGATGTCAAACAGGCCTGTTCACCATGTATCTGGGATCTTCATTTTCACATTTATCCTTGTTCTGTTTAAATACATTTTTATGATAATTGTTTAAAAAAGCTAACTGACTTAAATGAGCTGCTAGTGTGAGAAAAAACGGTCCGAAGCTTGTATAATGTGCACCAAAATAATGTTATGAAACCAAGAAATGCTCTAGAGACATTTTTATGCTCTTTAATGACTCTCTGTTGCTGACGTACACCTGAAATATGCCTCTCTAATTAATGTTGTCATGGTAACACGACCCACTAATTTAGTTAATTTTCTTCATTAGCAGAGAGATTTGTTTGGATAGTCATATTTTAACATTTTAGAGCTTGTCAAAGTAATTTTTAGGTCATCTTAAGAGCATTAATCTTAGAACATTGGCTTATCTTTAAAAAGCATGTAATGCTTGGATACTTACACTAAAGCTCATGCAAGTGAATTACCCACAGAGTAATATTATTAGTGTTTATTTTGGATTTTTGGGATTAGAGATTACAGCTAATGGAAACCTAGAAATCAATACTTGGTCCGAGTATTTAGATATTACATTACACCAATAATTATTTAAATTCATTTTATTTCTATATTTCTAATTCACAAAACACGTAATCTCAGATACAGATACAAGTTAGTCAGATTGGTTAAAAGTTTCTAACAAGAAAACCCAGCTGATTGCACCGAGTCATAGACTTTGAAGACATGTTTCTCCTGGATGAACTTGGAGCGATGATATTTGCCTGCACTGACTCTTCAGCAATCCTGAGCATGCATGCAGCGACAGTGGGGAAGGAAGTCTCCCTATTAACAGGACAAAACCTCTAATTAATAAAAAGCTACTCGTCATGTACTTATTACAAAAATTCAAGGTTACTGAATAGTATTTTAATGTCCACATGAACAGCTTCAATGCTTTTAGACAAATGATCAATGCCTTGTGGTCAGGTGACCAGGATGTGGTTCTATGAGGTATTAAGGAAGTTCATGTTGATTTGAAGGCTTTCGGCCCTCTATTTCTTCTTTTTAAGATATCTGATCATAAAGAATTAGGAAGGTTGAAAGTGTTAGTTTTACAAAAAAAAGAAGTAAAAAAATAACCACCTTGGAAATTCCTTTGAGCTCCATCCAGAAGTCTTCGTATGGAATTTCTTAAACCTGCCTAAAAGAAAACATAACAAAGCTGATTGACACATTAATGTTTTTCTATATATATGTTTCGATTAAAAGGTCTAACCGTGAGAGATGTTTCATTCTTCAGGTCAGCATGGCGTCTTACACCTGCATCAGCTGTCGGGTGGCGTTTTCAGATGGCGAGGTGCAGCGAGCGCATTACAAAACCGACTGGCACCGCTACAACCTGAAGCGCAAGGTGGCCGACATGCCGCCGGTCACTGCCGAAAACTTCCAGGAGCGCGTCCTGGCGCAGAGAGCCGCCGCCGAGCAGCAGCTGACGGACGCCGCGACAACTGAGAGCTGCACCGTCTGCAACAAGAAGTTCTCCAGCCCCAACGCCTACCAGAACCATCTGCAGTCCCACAAGCATCAGCAGGCCGAAAGGCAGGCGCTGCTTGCGGCTCAGAGGAAAGTGGAGAAGATGAACGAGAAGAACCTCGAGAAGGGGATCTGCGAACAGAAGGAGGACAACGACGCCAAGAACGAGGCCCTGCAGCAGGCGCTAAAGGAGCAACAGAGGCCCAGTCCGGCCAAGCTGGCAAAGGTTCAGGGTCCACAGGGAGCAGAGAAGGTGGAGAAACCACCACGGATGATGTGGTTAGAAGAGCAAATGAAAAGACGTGAGGGAGGAGAAGCTGCAGCAGCAGAAGGTATTAAACGATTCAGCTGATTTATTACATCTATATGTACTGAAAATGTTGAAATTAGCCTTTAATTGTTATTGTTTTTATAAAATCCTACAGAGGAGTGGGAGGACGTTGATGATGAGGATGATGATATGGAAGAAGATGTTGAAGAAGAGGAGACAATGGATCAGGAGGAAGGCTCTGAGGATACGTCTGACTCGGAACCTCCCTGCCTGCCGGGCTCCATCCCCGTCACAGACTGCCTCTTCTGCTCCCACCACTCCAGGTCGCTCCTGAAAAACATCGCACACATGACCAAAGTCCACAGCTTCTTCATCCCAGACCTGGAGTTCCTGGTCGACCTCAAGGGCTTCCTCAGATACCTTGGTGAGTTCTAAGTGGACATCTTTCCGTCTTTTCTCATCCAGGAGTTTGTTTGCATGTTTGTTCTGTTTCCTGGTGAAATCACGTTGATTCTGTTTGTTTCAGGAGAAAAAGTCGGTGCTGGGAACGTGTGTTTGTGGTGCAACGAGAAAGGGCGTTCATTCTACTCCACAGAAGCGGTGCAGAATCACATGATCGACAAAAGCCACTGTAAGCTCTTCACAGACGGAGACGCGGCACTGGAGTTTGCAGACTTCTATGATTTTAGGTATTTCTATTGTAAGCTTGTTTAGATTGGAACTTGTAAACTCTCTGATGTTGGATCATCCTTTATAGGCAGAGTTCCTCAGCGCTACGCAAATCTTTTTTTAAAATGTCTTTCATGTTGTTCTTTCTTCCTTCTCCTATTTTGCTTTTTCTTTCCTCCTGTTTTCTTTCATTTCCTCATTCGTTCTCTGCTGCATTTAGTTCATAATGATAAAATGGTTTAAGAAAAGTGTTTTGTAAAAGTGTTGCTTCTGTTTTCACTAACAGGAGCAGTTATCCAGACAGAAAAGAAGGAGAAGACAAAGGAATGGATGATGAAGATGATGACCAGCTGCCAGATGACAAGAACCTGGAATATGATGACGACACGATGGAGCTGACTCTCCCTTCAGGTGCCTTTGTGGTTGGAACATGCGTTCATGAGTTCCTGTTCAATCTGATGCACATTCTGAAAGGCTGATTGTTTTTTCCCCCTCATTTCTAGGTGCAAAGATCGGCCACCGCTCCCTCATGAGGTATTACAAACAGCGGTTCGGGATTCAGCGGGCCGTGGTTCTAAACCACAGTAGGAACGCTGTTGGCAGAGTCCTCCGGCACTACAAAGCTCTCGGCTGGGCAGGAGACACAGGTGAGGCTAGAGTCACTCTGACTCATCTAAATGCAGGAAGTTTCTATTTATTTCTATATGTTACATCAGTGGTTCTCAATCCTGCTCTTCAAGTACCACTGCCTTGCATGTTTTAGATTTCTCCTCGCTGCCAGACACCTGATTTATATAAATTGATGAGCGGTAGACTTAAAGGCTGCTAAGGAGGTCATGCAAATATTTCAATCAGGTGTGCTGCAGCAGAGACATCGAAAACATGCACAGCAGGGATAAATTAAAAATCAAAGGGAATATATGTGATTACAATGATTCATTTACCTTTTTTTTTCTTTCTGAGAATCTGAAAAAAAACGTTACTTAGCTACCAATAGTTTCCTATTTTAAAAGAAGGTAAATCTTTCTGTTCATGAGCATCTGTTTAGAAAACTTTTGTTGCTGCAGCACCCCCTACTGGAAACCATCTGAACTGCAGCACTTTAGGGACATTTAAAGGTATAGTGGAGGATTTTACACAAATCTCTTAAAAGACCCGCCCTCTCCACTCTAAAAAAAAATACACACACAACCCTGTACCCGCTCTCGAGAGGGAATGCCTATTAAACATGTGTAAGAGCATGCAAGATTAAATTTCTCCTCATGCATGCTCTGTTTAAAAGTTGCTGTTCTCATAGCTGATACGTCAGCCCTAACCCCCAAATCCCTCAAACACTACATAGAGCAGGGACTATATAGTGGGCTTTATAGTGAACTCGGTTAACTTACCGTTTGGACAGATGATCACTGCTTTTTCTCCCCGTTGGTCACGTAACTCCTCCTCCACCGCTTGGTGCCTGCACCATCTTTATTAGTATCCAACAGCGGGCCGCCGTGACGGCAAATCCCAAAATGCCTCCCACAAGGAGAACACTCTGCGCAAAGCATTCTGGGATGTATTTTCCTCTTCTGAGGCCTTTCTTTTCTTCTGATACTTTTCGTAGACACTTTTTCTCTAATGACCCTCGGCCATTTTCATAGAACCGCGGTGAGAAAGGTGAACTTCAATGACTGTCTGAAACCGTAACTCACCAAAGATGCATATGCCTGAAAGTCCGCATGCGCAGAAAAAGATAGCTAACGGGACGAGCATGTAGGACGGCCTTACATAAACATCACCAGAATTACTGACAATTAGCAGGGCCACTTATTTGGATGATCCAGCAGGAAAAAGGACATCTTCCACTATACATTTAATGCATTCTGCAGCCTCTGTCTGAAGCAGCAGTCTGCAACATGTTTCAATGGACCCTCCACGGTGACTTAAAATACGGGTAAAAAAATGATGAAATAAAAAAGGTTTGAAGTATAGCTATAATGTGGATAAAATACAGAGTTTAGCAGCTTTTTAATGAGTATTGAAAAAATTGCATTGAATATCAAATGGATGTAAAAGTAGCAATAACAGCTTTGTGTTTCTATTTTTCTTGGCCTTAAGTTGGAAGCTATGACTCTATATATAATTTTACTTCATAACTATAACTAGATATTAATAAAACTAAATCAAAGGTATATGCTTCCATAAAATATATTTGTAGCTATACTGACTGGTATCCCGTTGCTCTTTTGACAAACATGAAAATAACACTTAAGTGTTTTATTGTTCCTGGGTGGTCTGTATTGCCCCCTGCTGTCTGGTTGTGATATTGTAATTACTGTATAACTAGAAAGAAGCTGTGTTTTCGAAAAATAAAAAATAGTATGTTATACTGTGTTATCTCATATCTTAAATTTGAGACATCTTTTATATATTTGATGTAGTCAATATTTGTTTACAATTTATGTTAAAAAAATGTTCCCAAACATTTTGAATCTTGCTCTGTTACAATTTTTTTAATCGAACTCCTTACAGGTTATGTTAGGCTACTGTATAAAGCCTCGTAATCAACGCTATTTCTGAAATTTTGAATTGAAAAATCTTCCTGGATGGGAAGCAAAACGCCTTCAAACTTGGAAACAAAGTCCAGTGAATTGTTTTTTTTTTTTTACTTTTTTGGAATGCCTATGACCTGGATGATTGGATTGATTTCTCCAATTTATTGTTTTAGCCTGAAAAAGAAACATCCTGCGGAGGTTGATTAATTTAGAGACATTTTTTTTTTTTATCAGCTCTCTGCTTAAAACCCTTGTTTCATTCATGATTCATGAATGTTTATCATTCACAATAACAATAAACTGGTTGATTCCTTCCCATTATAACATATTAACTATATTACTACCTATGTAGTAATATAGATTCCCACTTATTCTCTTTATCTGTATGCTGTTATGGGGAAAAACTGCATACTTTAGAGCACCTTTCAGATTTATCTTTATTTTTACTGACAAAACATCAGTTTCCTAATGTCAACTGAAGTCGTAAATTCTGGCGTCTCCTGAGAGCTGAATGGAGGAGTTAATGTGATGAACATGAGATCTTATCATGGTGAACTGAATAAATGCTTCTGTTATTTCTTGAATTTTTGAAATGCTTTTCCATCTGGTTCGACTCCCTGAATTTCAAAAGAAGGCTGAAAAGTTACCATGCATCTTTATGGCCTTCCTATCAGAACTAACTGTGAGAAAACCTGAACGCTGATGCTCTGTCCCTTCCAGGCAGCGGCTCCGTCCACCAGAGACAGAGAGACATGCAGTACGTACAGAGGATGAAGTCCAAGTGGATGCTGAAGACGGGGATGAGCAACAACGCCACCAAGCAGATGCATTTCAGAGTCCAAGTTATGTTCTAAGCTGGGAAAGAGGAGCTGAAGGAGTAACACAGACTGAGCTCATAGAGCTGAAAGATGGCCGCCAGCAAACAACAGAAACACATTTTTGTCTCCTTTTGATTGAACAGCACAGATGAGTTAATTAAAGGTCTGATGACCTCAATTCAAACCATGATGTGATAAAGTTTCCAAGTCTTTGGGGTAATTCAAAAAACGAAGGAACTGGTTTTGTTTAATCACCCAATAGAATAAAGGAATCTGATCAACCTCAATATTTAAACCATGACGGACTTAAGAAAAAAGCAAAAATCACTTCATAGAAGTTTTCTTCACTCATACAAAATGAAGGGAAAATGTTCTATGTTAAATCGAGGTTTAAATTTGCTTAGTAAACGCAAACTTTCTGGTTAAACTCCAGTTTTAATTTATGTCTGAATTTCTCATAATGTGGAAAAGTTTCCCTCTCCCCTTTTCTGCTTTCAGGTTATTATTAAAACTGTATTTAAATGTATTTGCTAATAAAGATTCACAATCACATGGTTTTGCCTTAAAAGGAATGCATTTAATAGATCAGTTGGTGGAACCAGATACTGCTGATCTTAAACTTGTACAGGTATAAATACAGAACATAGCACTGAAGCATGGCTCTTATAACAGGAAAGGTCAAACTGTATGAAGCAGGGAGGCTCAGAGGCCTCTTTTACGAAGCATACTTGCACATAAAAGACTTGTACCATGTGCAAAAATGAACGTAGTGCTTAATAAGTGTGCTGTTAGATGCAAACTTGATCTGCCATAAAAAATTCCAGTGGCACTAGAAACGTTTTCTTACAGAAGTAAAAAACAAAATGAGAATTCAGCCTGATGTTTTTTAGACTTGGACAACTTTATCAATCCCACTGGGGGCAATTCATTTGTGCAGTACACAAGTGATGACATAAATGAAAAAATGTTACAGGGACCTTAAGGACCATCATTGATAATTAAAAAAACCCGAAAGAAAGGTAGTTAAAAGGTAAGTTATTTTTAAAATGTAAACGAATTTAAAAGTCAAGTGGATGCTGCTATAAAAGAATTTGCATAGGTTTGTGAGGCATTATATAGTGGCATCCTGAATGCAACAAAGAGAATTCATTTTTGAGAACATTTTCTGATGAGATGATCACTAGCTTTTTTTTGCAATTTGTTCATTACATAAGAAAGGCAATGATTTTAGAATAGTTTTTACCATTGCAATTCAGACTGAAAGGTTCAAACAAGCAGCAGCAAATCATTTGAAAACAAACGGCGGGTAGAGCAGTGTTGCCAACTCTAGCAATTTTATTACAAAAAAAGAGCCTAGCGCCATATCTGACTTTTTTCTGTTACTGGAGACTTTGGCGACAACATGTAAAACACCAAACTTTGCTCTCCAGAGTAAGTACATTCCTAACACCGCCTCCTGCTCTCCTCTACCTCGTCTACTGTCATAATTCATGCATCTATAATTTCATTTAAATGGAAATGGACAACAGATAAGCAGATCGTGTCTTAAGTGAAAAGAAGGACTGGCTTATTTACTTTTGCTGTCAACTTTTTGGAAACACAGGGAGAGCAGTCAGCTAAGTCAGAATGGGCTTAGTGATTCAAAATACTTTTATTCCTTTTGAGACAGCATTAAAAGTCAGCTGATCATCTTGCTGATCATCTTGCCAATATGAAAAGAAAAGGGGACAAAAGAAAACAGAAGAAAACAAGAAAAGGGATAAGAAGAGAGGGACAAAATGTATAACAAATATTTTTTTCTATTCTATAAAGATGTCTGTATCTATTCAATGGGTTTGTCTTATGTGTTGTATTCTTAATTCAGAGGGCCCCATGCCTATCTGTGCCTAGGACCCCAAATTTCCTAAATCCACCCCTGCTTTCAGTGTTAGGCCATTATACCAACAGAGAAATGAAAAACAGAAGCTTCACAATGAAAGCTTATTATAATTGGACTGACTGGAAAAAAGATTTTAGCTTTTTTTCAGAAGGTTCACTCTTTGTTGAGCTTGTTTTAGAACACCTGCAGTATTAACATCGAACTCAAGCTGGTTGTCAAAAATTGTGCCAATATACTTCTAAAAGAACACCAGCTCGATGCCTCCACTATGCATAATTCTCTCCGTTCCTAGATCATTTCTACGTCTAAATTGAAAATTCTATTCTTTCTTTCTTTTTTGACATTTAACTCCAAGAAATTTCTCTCACACCAAAAAATAAAATCAGCGAGTGCTGTCCCATGTTGTGAATCTGAACCTGCTTTTCACAGGTTTGATCTTTTAAAAGTTAAATCTTAACGATTCATTTAAATCACTTTGCATCAAACAATTAGTAAAAAACCCTTAAATAGCAGAAAACAGTAGAAAGTAAAATATAAATATTCTTCTGTTGAGGTCAGATAAACCTTCATTAGAGCATGAATGTGTTATCCAAGGATAACTTTCATTACAACTGAAAAAAAAGGGTATTTGATCAGCAGATTTTAATCCAAACAAGTCAGATATGAAGATAAATAAGGTAGCGGGCTTTAGACAATCACACATGCCCATAAATAACTAAAGGTTTACTCCATTGTGGAAGGATGGCAGCCTTGGATCTACTGGAGGACATCCTAAATAAAAGAGTGAGGAAACATTTTAACACACTAAAACAAAAAAAATGAATGCAGTTATTTGCATTTTCTCATACAGGCCTAAAAACTAAAATTCCAAGCAGGAACCTTTGTGATCCCTGTTTCTTTTACATTAGGGATATTCCAGGCTTGGGATGGTGCTGTGTTTTCATGAAAGATGAGAGGGGATTAAGGAAAAAAATTTTTTCTAACATTCTACACTTTAGTTTTTCTGGTAATTTTGCCTGTTTATGCCCTTTATTAGTTCCCTGTAAATGGCATCTCAGCTCGACTTCTTCCAGCCATCCGTCAGATTTTTGAATGACTGAGCTTCGTTCAGATGATGTAATGGAAAACCGATGGGCCTCCAGCCAGGACGCTGACCCATCACGCTGCTGCCACATTAATGAGCTCAGTTACTCCATTTGTTTGTGGTCCTCCACTTTATCTCTGGCAGCCGCCCCACTTCCTTTTGCAGGCCCTGAGTGTGTTTGCGGCAGGATGGTTTCAGAGGTTTCGGGCACTCTGCCCGAGCTGCGTGCTGCTGTTTGACACAGTGGACAGGAAAAAGCATGGGAGGAGGGGGATGCGCAGACTGGCCGACGGCGAAGAGGAGACTAATTGATCCGGACGACTTAGGAGAGATATAGGGCAGATGCCTGAGAGGCATCAGAAGTGTGCAAGTCACTGTAGGAGGTGATAGTTTCAGCATGATGGACGTCTGACGGCTGAGGATGCCCATTCACTGCTCTGACTGATGCTTGATGTGACGTGTTTTCTCAGAATTTATGAAAAGAATCTTTAAGTTGGTGTTTTCTCATATTTGATTTAATGAAAATCTCAAATTAATGCTAGGAAGCAGCCTGAGTGGATGGATTTGTTGCTTTGTTTAGAGTTGTGGTAATACTTTTACCAGCATGCTGTTAAGACAGGTAATGCTCAAAGTGACCATATATAGTACAGTGGATTTATTCCATATGTTGAGGTCTTGACCTTACTTAGGGTCCTTGATCAACCAGTATGGGGTTGTCTTCAGATCCACTAAGGAAATTAAGCTAAACAATAAATGTTTATGTTAAAGTCCTTTAAGATATATAAAAATGGACAAAACGATCTTTTTTAGTTATTGATGCCTTTTGTATTATTACTATGCAGACAGTTAATTTTTTTTTTTTAGAAGTCTATGTAAACTCGGATCTGATACCTTTTAAGTGGGTCAGAAGATGAAAATGTAAAGAAAGTGCATTAGTTTAAAAGTAGCACTAAGTAAAATGTTTTACCCTAATACAGTATATCCTCTTCTGAGTCCTTGTGATGATAATCTAGGTGTTTATGAGACATTTGAGTGGTCTGTCATCCCCTCCCATTGGCTCTGTTAAAGAACACACATGCAGTTTTCTGCACTGAGCCAGTGGTAACCTTGCTGCTCTGTTCTCATTCTCACAGTAAGACTAACAGCTTTTTGGCAGACCATTATAAAGCCAAAGGTTTCAGTACCGACAATCTCATAATGTGCTACCCAGAGATTATTAAAGAGCAGCTTTTATTTTATTTTCGAGGTTTATTACTTGTTTAAGCCAGAAAAAAGGCAAAAAAAACTTGGTTAGAGGAGTAAAGGAAGAGAAAAGATCAGGAAAGTGCTTGAAATAGAGGAAATCTGGGAAAGTCAACAAAGATTTCTATAGTCTTTTTGCTGCTGTAAACACCAGAAATTCCCCATTATAGGACAATAAAGGGATTTTCTATTCTATTCTATTCTATTCTATTCTATTCTATTCTAATAATGCTAAACTGATGTGAATCTGGTAATAATGTTAATGGCTTTAATTAACAATTTTTAAACATGACACTATAAAACAGGGAGAGGCTGGATCACCTTTTGAGAGCAAATAAAAAGCACTTAACTCGAGATGCAGACTGTTCCAAACTAGTTTATATTAGATAATGCGTAATACTATCCACCTCTTGAGACATTTGGTCGTGATCTGCATTTTCCAATTCCTTAAAGAATGACAGGACTCTCAGTATGGGGAGGGCTTGCAGTGTTAACAGCAGTGCTATTTTCACAAGGTCCTGTAGGGGGAGCTTGACTCGAAAAGTACTTAGTGCTGCTTTAATAATCAGTTCAATGTAATGAAGTATACAGATCGAACAGGAAAATTATTTCTGTTAAAAATCTATAAAATACTTATATTATCTCACATTGATTTTTATTTCTAGAAACAATCTGCTTTGTCAGCTATTTCATCCTACTGTGGCCTATACATGTATCTCTGCATCCCTTTATGAGTCCAGATGGCTCTTCTGGCACCTTCTTGCTCACATTTTGTTTCTAAAATTATTCCTGCAGTGCTCTAGTTGTAAATTAAACACCATCCTGTCTTGGTGGCAGAAAGTTATTAGAATGCAACCCAGCTATCTGTACAGCTGGTGCTCATTTCTGTGGCCACCGTGCCTCCTGTTGGTGGCAAGTGTTCACCTTGAAGTTTTTCGTCAGATCTTGGACTAGTGTCATAATGTTTTTTTTTATGCAAAATTAAATTATAGTTAAATATGGGCTTTAAACTCAAAAGAATTTACTAAAATTGCATGATATTATAAACTGGGATAGAATGTTTTCGTTAGGCTGAAACCTTAGAAACATCAACATGAACAGGTTCTGGGATGTCGGCCCTCAGGGTAGTGATTTGATGCAAAGTATTATTTTTTATTTTTGTAGCTGGGGTGTGGG